CACATTTCCCATGAAGAGATTTACACCTCAGGAATCATTTCCATGTGCGAATAGTATGATCGAATAATGCTGAAAAATGCTGAAATGTTTTACTTAGCCTGCTACATACCAAAATATTTCTCCAAACCCGGAGAAAAGCTCTTTTTTGTTTTGAAGAGTGTGTCAAAACACTGGGCTCTACCTCAGGGGAAAGACTCTACCATACGTCTGTACACACACAACCCGTGGCCAGGTCACTGCTCCAGAAGAGCGAGCAATCAATCAAATTACCTGCTAAAATAAAGAATAATAAATAGTTTGAAAAGATGTTTTCGTTCACCGCTCACTCAGCTTCTGTGCCAGCAGATCTGTATTGGTTCTGTTGAAAGTGTTTTTGAAAGCTCTTGTGCAGTCACGGTTAAGGCTGGGCTGAAAACATTAAGGTCACAGGTTTGATCTAAGGTTGGGGTTACTAATAAAGTGGGATATTACCAGATTTACAGGCCTTTTGTTATCATTTTTCCCTTTGGCAAAGCATTGTATCATGGTGTTTAGTTTTTTAGGACAGATATGCATTGATGATTAAATGTGCATTAAACAATTAAGTCAAATGGCAAATCAGTAAAGCCTAAAATTGTTCATACCCCTGACAAATTCTGACTTTTCTTTTTATTCTTAAGTTTTTTTAGTTTTTATTTTTACCTGAAATGACTCAAACTTTTGCCAAATGATATTATGATGTGCAAGAGTATGTATCAATGTGGAAAAAATATTTATCAGCTTTGATTTACCTTTGAACAAAGAGTGGCATGTCCAAAACTTTTCATACCCTTCTCAATAATCTATAGAGAAGCTTCTATTGGCTATTACAGCAATCAACATCAAGAAGGATAAACCACATTCTACAGGAGTAACTGTGGACACAAGAGCAATTTGTCTGAAAGGGATGTCCTGGTGGTAACCCGGATTGTATCTAAAATACAAAAAACATAATACCACAGCTGCCCAACTCACTGCAAAATTAAACTTGCACCTCAACACTACTGTTTCCACTAAAATGATTTGTCAAGAGCGCCACAGGGTCCGTATACAGTAAAGAGTCAGGCTGCTAAAACCAAACCTTTGGTCTCTCATGCAAATGTCAAACCTCAGTTTTAATGGTGCCATTAGCAAAAATACTGGACTGTGAACAATGTGAAACGTATTGTTCTCTGATAAGTCCACTGTTTTTTACACATCCGGGAAAGTTACGGTGTGGAGAAACCCCAATAAAGTGTACCACTCAGACTGTTGCATGCCCAGAGTAAAGCATGGGGGTGGTACATACGAATTAATTATTGTCGTCTAAAACCAGACATTCTTTTTGTTTTCCAAAACAACTAACAAATAAAAATATCAATCTCTAAACATGTTTTATATTTTAAATGAGGGAAATAACCATGTGTTATAGGTGTGACCAAAAATTGTCAGCAGGGGTGACCAGCGCTGGAGGGCCTAGATTTCTAGTTTATCCAGTTAGAGCTTAATTAGCTGCTTCAGGTGTCTTTGATTAGGGTTGGAGATACCGGCTGTTTCTCAATATGCGTTCTTCAGCGATCTTGAGTCCTCATGTTCTCGTGTAATGTTACATCATCCATCAAAATTCAGTTCCAATACTCAAGGCCGCAAGTACAGAGGACACGTGAAAGTTCCCGGTTGTGTTCTTGATGTCAAGGACGCACCAAACTCGCTCTAGAAGTGCCAGAAGTCATTGCGACTGAGGTGGGAAGCGCAGCATTTAATATAGGTTTATTATTAAAATTCAGAGATATAACTTATTTACCGCAGGAGTTTCCCTAAATGAGATGGTGAAAGAAAACATCACCATGAAAATCTTAATAAAAGAAAAAACACATTAAGGGTGTTTATTTGTTGAAATTCATATTAAAATCTGTTTTATTAGTGATGTGCAACGTATATTTGTAAAGTCTTTATGCATAGTATATATTGTGAAATGGGGGAAAACAATAAATCATTGTATGAATGCTGTAATGTTTAAATAATTTTTGGTTAAAGATGCGTGAGGGTCATACGTGACCATCAGGAAGAATGCAGCATCTCATTTCTCACAGGACACGTTTTCTGTCCTTGAAGTCTCCCAAGTTCGTTCTTCCGATATGACCATTAGACCGGTCTCAGCAAGAACACAAGTCCATTCTCTGCGTTCTTGGAATTGAGAAACAGCCAAACTCTCCAGTACAACAACCCTTCGAGTTTAAACACCCTGATTTACAGTATAAAACACATGTGCACATTTTTGTGAAAATTCTGTATATTAAGCTGTACAACGCAAAATAAATAATGCTTTTTAAAATTATAAGAGTTGGCTCTCTATAACACACACAAAAAAACGTATTTAATTTAACATTTTTGCATTTATAAGGAAAAAGCTTGGTTATAAATCTCTCCTTTACGCATGTGGCAGATGTGAAAATGGCACTTGAGTTACTTTGAAAAATCAAATATTGTTTGAAACTGCTGACAGGTACATTGAGTATTTTTACATGACTGTAAAGAACTAAACTACACACACACACACACACACACACACACACACAAAAACTTTAAAAAGTGCTTCACTATATTGTTGAACATAAGTTTGACATTTGAACTGCTCATCTTTAGGTTAGCTCTTAAGATTGTCAACACTAAGCCAACCAGGACCGAGATCTTTATTCCTAAAATGAAAACTGAACTGCAAGAGTGATCCCACCTAGACATTCTGGTGCCATCATCCTGGAAATGCTTTCAGCAACTTATAAGGCTGGAAAATTTGACTGCAAAAAATAACGTTCATATCTCCCTTCCTTCTTTCTATCACAGAAAACAAACATGCGGGATAATAAACGAGAGAGGAGCTCTGTGTTTGAGTTGGACGAGACGCTTAGCACAAACGGTGGGAAAGGATGCTGGCTGCAGGTTTGTTCTGCGAATGGAGCTGAGGTGAGCAAAGCAACGCAACCAGAGAAATGCTTAACCTAAAGCCAAACCACCAGATAAGATATAAGGGCTTTGCCATGAATTTCTATATACCTCAGGGTGTTTGCTGAGTGATATTTTGTCTTCTGGAAGAGGAAAAACAGGATGAGGTGGAAAAAAAATAATGTGGAGGTGAAACAACTTAATGTGATTGTAATCAAAGCATCACTTTGTTTAGCAGCTTGGCATTCTGTCGCTGATGTGGCACCACTTCGAAACGCGTCATTAAAGCCATTAACTTTGGTAATTTCCCCAATTTTCTTTATTTCAAATACAAACAGTCTCCAGCTTTTTTACGGCCAAGCGCTCCAAGACCTCCCGTTTCACAGGGAGCTATCAGATGAACGCTGGGATATCTTGGGGGCTTTCTGGCTGATCGAAACATACTCTAAATGATCCTGAAAAAGCACTAATGGCAAACACAGGTGGGAAAAGCATTACGAACACATCAGGGCCGCTACCATTCTCATATACAGACAGCTAACGCTAAGAGAAAACACTGAAGGCAGTGGTGATGAAGAGTGTGCTGTGTGTGCTTTCTTTATGTAGGCAACAGTTGAACTGTACTGTAACCACTCTTCCAATGCTTAATTAGACAGTAAGTGAACTCTGAAAGTAAAGCAGGCTATTGCTCTAATTCCAAAATTGTTCTGCTAATGAGCCTCACAAAAACAACCATCAGACTATTTTTCAATTAAATAAAGCTGCAGTTAAAATCTGAACTATGTCATCTGTACAGTGCAATATTTATTTGTTAGACCAAAAAGCCTCCCACAAACAAAACACACTGCAAAATTACCAGGATAAACACTCAGAAATGAAAATGTTTAGCAAGAAAACTGTTCATAATTGGTAGTACCACACATGTAGTGTGAATCAGAAGCCTTCATATGGATGAAAAAAATAAACAAATATATCAGAATATTTTTTAAAAAATTAAAAGCCTTCATATGAAAATAATAATAATAAAAAATATATATTTTTTCATCCATTTATTTATTTATTTTTTAATATTTCCCAAATGATGTTTAAAAGAGCAAATAAATTTTCACACTATTTCTGATAATACTTGGTCTTCTGAAGAAAGTCTTATTTGTTTTATTTCTGCAAGAATAAAAGCAGTTTTACATTTTTAAAAAACATTTTAAGGTCAAAATTATTAGCCACTTTAAGCTATAAATTTTTCGATAGTCTACAGAACAACCATTGTTAAACAATAGCTTGCCTAATTACCCTAATCTGCCTAGGTAACCTAAAAAATATCAAATAAAATATTAGTTACTGTCATTATGGCAAAGATAAAATAAAATAGTTATTAGAAATTAGTTATTAAAACGTTTGTTTAGAAATGTGTTGCAAAAAATCTTCTCTCTGTTAAACAGAAATTTGGTATAAACGGGGATATATATATATATATATATATATATATAGACTCATTTGCCACTTAATTAGGTACAACAGTCCAACTGATTGTTAACGCAAATTTCTAATCAGCTAATCAGCCAATCACATGGCAGTAACTCAATGCATTTAGGCATGTGGACCAAGACGATCCACATTGGGTGCCATTCCTGAGAATTTTTGCTGACCATGTTCATCCCTTTACTTCCAGCATGATTACGCTCCATACCAAAGCACGAATCATCTCAGACTGGTTTCTTGAACCTGACAAAAAGTGTACTGTACTCAAATGGCCTCCACAATCACCAGACCTCAATCCAATAGAGCACCTTTGGGATGTGGTGGAATGGGAGATTCGCATCATGGATGAGCAGCTGACAAATCTGCAGCAACTGCAAGGAATATTACCAGTACCTTGTTGAATCTATGCCACAAAGGATTAAGGCAGTTCTGAAGACAAAAATGTGGCTAACCCAGTACTAGTAAAGTGTACCTAATAAAGTGGCCAGCGAGTATGTGTGTAACAAGAAAGTAATTTTTTGAAACCCTTTCAAAACTAAACTTTTATTTTATTCCTGTCAAAATACACTGATCAGCAATTATTCCTTTAAAAATATTATTTTCTTTTAATATTATTAGTTATATCTCACTCACTCACTTACACACACACACACACACATGAAATGCAGGTATTGCTACTGTACATTTCCTTTGTTTAGAGTATCTTAAAACTGAGCATGTAGGTTGTTGAGTAAGTAAAGTACAATTAAATGCATAAACATTCCACTCTTAACAGAAGGGACTGTAACAACCCAATACTGCGATCAAAAATTCTCATTATGTGCACTTAGTCTCAGTCAGTGAAGTGTCCTTGTACACTACTGACTGCAGTCTTGTCCCCCTGTTTAGATTGAGTATAGCCTTAGCCAACGTGTCATAAAAAAACATAAAATAAAATGTGATAACAGATCAGTTTCATTAAAATATAAATTCCTTAAATATATATTGACAAAAGCATTGTTACTGTTGCAGCATATCTACAAATCTGCCTGCTGTTACTGAGTTAGCATTTCAAATGCACAATACATGCATGTCAAAAACAGCTCCCCCCTGTGGATGTTAGCATGAGTATGTTTTAAAAGTTTGTCCAGAATACATGATGGGGATAATCTGTTAGCTTTTATTTTCTCAGAGTTGCCAATTTTGAAATAATCATGGACATACGTCTTGTAAAGTGTAAGATTTAGGTTGTGATGCCCACCATTACTTCACTGATGTCCCACAGTTTCTTGGCCACCTCTTCATCTGTGGCTTTAGCTAACAACTGTTCCTCCTTGCAGTCAGCAAAGCATTTCCCTTGAACCCCCTCCACATCCTCAGAGCAGGCCAGATAGACAGACGTCTGCGCCCCCTCCTCAGGGGACTTGAAGAAGGCCCTTGATGCCAAGTTAAACAGAGGCTTCACCAGCAGTGGGATGTGGACATGTCTGCCCAGGTTAGTTCTCACAATTCCTGGGGTGAGAGCGTTTACTGTGACTCCCGTCTCTTTAAGTTTGTGCGAGAGCTCCAGCGTGAACAGAAGATTGGCTAGTTTACTCCGGGCGTAAGAGAAAGCTTTGTCGTAGCTCTGCTCACTGTTTAGGTCATCAAAGTTTATTTCGCCATACTTGTAGAGCTTGGAGGAAACCACGATGATGCGGCTTGGGGCAGAGCACTTGAGGAGGTCCAGCAGGAGGTTAGTGAGCAGGAAGTGACCCAGATGATTGACAGCAAACTGCATCTCGAAGCCGTCTTCTGATTTGGTGTAAGGGCACTGGTAAATTCCTGCATTGTTAATCAGGATGTCGATTCTCGGCTCTTCCTGTTAGAGATACAAACAAAAGCAAAGTTGAAGGTTTTGCAGTGTTCTAGAATGAACATTTTATTCAGTTAATCAGTTTTTTTACACAAAATTAAACCGATAAATTTAAAAACGTTAAGTATATTAACTTACTGTTTTTAGTACAATATCCCTTTAAAATGTTTTTAGAAATACGTCATCGTGACATTATCCAAGTGTTTATTTTTCTTGCCTATTAATGCATGTATGGATGTGATTTTTCTGTATTTTCCAAACTTTATGGGGTGACCTCTATAATTTTCTGTGAAATCAGTGCTACATCCCAGCAACTGAAATTTCGTAAGTTTTGTAAGATAATATGATATTACAAAATCATTTTTTATAATGAACAATAACTATTAAAAGAAGGGACAAAAATAGGAAAAATTAAAGTTACAAACTATTTTTAGCCATGTAAGATATTTTTTTCAGGGTGGAATGTTAAAGTAGGCCTATATTAGGCTACTCTATTCAACTAGAATCAATATTTAAGGCCCTAAAACAATGTAATGGCTTGAAATAGTTTTAATTATTTATGCACTAGTAGTTATCACTTTGGAATAAAGAGTCAACTAAATTACAGTAAAATTTATGTTCTAAATCCTATTTTTCTTAAGCAATAATAATGACAATGTTCTAATGGATGAGAAAACATGCATTTAGAAACAGACTTTGAAAAATAAACCTGTCATAATTAAAAATGGTTCACTACGCCCTTTAGTCATGCGCGCGCAGCCACGTGCACCTCCCAAACATCTCGCGCTTTCAGATACAAGCGCGTGACTCTTGTGCACTCTTTGTTGGTAGAATAGAGCACTTGTTACTAGTAGAAAACTATACAGTAAAGCACCATAACGTACGCACCCTATGCTTTATACATATCCAAAAAGGACAAACACATTATGTGCTTGTTTTGGTGAGGTACCTTTATTATCCCTTCGCAGAACACGCGGACAGATTTTAGCGACGCCAGGTCCAAGAGTTTGATCACCAGTTCCCCATGCTCTGGTCCGGCCTCCTGCTTGATCTCCTGGGCCGCTTTCTCTGCTCGTTCTCGGTCTCTACATGCCATAATCACCCGGGCCTGACGCCGCAGCAGCTCCGTGGTCGTGGCTTTTCCAATGCCACTGTTCGCCCCGGTCACGATAACAGTTTTGCCACGCAACATGTCGACGCTTTCGTCTTTATGTTTGTAACGGGGAGTAAATGCTTAACTGCTGATCCTTCTGGAGCCATCGACAACGACCCGGACATCAGTAGGTTTGTAGGCGTAAACATTCACGCATGTGGGAAGCAGCAAGAATGTTTTTCAACTACATAACCCAGAAGTCATTGCGGGTCAATCCCAAACCACGTGCATCTGTGGTACACGATAACAACGATATGAATAACGATAACATTAATCTATCAAACTAAAATGACAGTTATTTTAAACTGAGCTAAAAAAAATAACGTTTGTTTCTTATACATTGTGTACGTTCTTTTTTGTTTGTAACTTCACGAACCTACGTTTTTGTGATGTATTTTTTTAGTCCTTACCTATTATTGTACTACCCGTTTTAAATACGTGTTTCAGAGCTAAAAACTTAACTGCTACATTCAGGCACAAATTAAAACACACATACACACAACGTAACAGCACTTGTTTACTTAATGTTCATAATGAACAAATCCAGCATTTGTCATTTTTAATCCTAATTTGACACCTTAGGGTAAACACAGACAATACATTCAAAATACAAGAATCAGTTGATTATTCACATATCCTATCAGTTTACTTTATTCTCATGAACACTGGTGGGGGGCCACTTACTCGTCCATGGGAGAAAGAGCCTGAGTCCATGTGTAGAAGTACAACAATGAAAAGGTTCAAAACCACATAGTTAAACATCCATTAAAATCTGCTATGTTTACACTGAAGAGTAAAATCTTACACTATAAATAAAATAGAAAATACATTCCCTGAGATATTATTAGATGTTATTCTTGTTTAAACATGCTAAAAACTAATGATCCAGGCTGGAAGATGTGTTCAATTGCACATTGTTGTCTTTAAAATTAAAAAGAAAGAGCTTTGTTTTACCCTTATAGCGCTGATATGTTAGAGTAGTGCTGATGTGTTAGAGCAGTGCAATACATACTAGGTCATTTTGAGCACCGTAGTTCTTCGTTTTTACACTCCAAGAAATCCATTTGATCAGATAAAAGTTTAAAATACTACCTTGAGCAACAATAAATAAATAAAATTAATTGTGACTTGAAGAGACTTTCATTTATGTGCATCGCATAATATATCACTGTAATATATTAATATACTAAGTAAACAATTATATATTAGCTGTTGTATAGACCATTTCAATGTGGTCATGTCATTGGCCCTTGAACATTTCCAGCTTGTTATCAAACTATTTTTATAACCGTAACAAGGGGCAATTTAATCTTAACTTCATGTTAAAACAGCTATAATAACATTAATTAGCAATATGTGTCTCTTCTTGGATTCTCAGAAGCTATAGAAATTCGAAAACAGGAAATACGTTGGGACCATTGTTTTTGTTTACGTCCCTCAAAATGGTCTATAGAGGAGTCTTAAGACACTGAATAGGTTTTGAGGTAAAAAGAAATGGGACTCTGGCATTTGCTGATCATCAAACCATTTCATTTTTTCTCAGCATCACTTGTTTCTATGCGTTTCCCCTTATGATACTTCTGTCCAATCCCATAGGGCACATGAGCAGCGATTGTCCCGAGCTCCTGGGCACCTTCAATGTGAAACATCTGATCGTCAAAGAAGATGTGAGGCTTGATCTTCTGTAAGAGAGGACCTTTAGGAGCCCCAGCCAAAAAGAGGGCTTCGTCCACCTCCAGGCCCCAGCTCCGTAGGGTCTTCAGGACGCGGGCCCCAGCGCTGGCAGCACTTCGAGCTGTGACCAGGTACGTACGAATGGGGCAGTTGATACGTTGGTTTTTTGCATAGAATTTGCGCTGGAGTTTTCCCAGTGCTTCCAGGAAACATTTAAGGGGACCCTAGAAGAGGATGATGAAACAGTAAATTAATGATGAAGACAATTTTACATGCAACAAACTTGACAGAGAATGTATGAGAGGGGTCTGGCTGCAGACCTGGTGCAGTGCAATCTGGGCTGCATCCAATGTTTTTTAATGGGCTCATCTAACTCCACCCCTAACCCTACCCGTCACAGTGATGTCACTTGCTCCATTTGAGTGCATTGTGTCTGACATTGCATCGCTGAGTGATGCAGTCTCAGCTTGCATCATAAAGGCTGCATCCAGATACTATTGGAATGTATAGGGGTATGATAATTAAGGATACATTTACAGTCAAGCCTAAAATTATTCATACCCCTGCCAACTTCTGACTTAGTGTCTTGATAAAATATTTTTACCTAAATATGTTTTTTTTCCCCCCAAAATGATGCCTCTAGTACATTGTCTTATTATCTTTTGGGAGAAGCCATGTGTCATTTCTAGTAAAAGTAACTTAAAAGGGCACCCACTTTACCCCTTTTACAAGACGTAAGATAAGCCTTTGGTGTCTCCAGAATGTGTCTGTAAAGTTTTAGCTCAACACCCATCAGATTATTTATTATAGCCTCCACGCTATGCCCATTTTGGTGACTGAGTATACTGTAGCTGTTATTGTACCCTGTGGCTCTAAATAAAAATGAGCTGCTTCTCCCTGCCCATCATTTATTGACACCCTGCGGCCGTGGTGATTATAGCGATTTTACTGTCCTTATTACAAACTTGCTCTGTTTTAAAATGTTTTCAACTTATAAGATCATCACAGAGAGTTGTAAAAAATATTTGAATCCAAGTTTATTTGTAAAAAAAAAGTTCTGTGGACATGTGTATACGTGTTATTATAGAAACAAGGCACCTGTCAATTGATTCAGTGGGAGGGGAAAACCGCACTACTAGGTCACGTTGCGGTGGCTTTAAAATCACTGGGATTTGGAAGTATAATGTCAGGAAATTAAAAAAAAAAATAACATACTTTTGGGTTTATATCACTCCAATATTGAACAAATCCTCCATGGAGCGATTGTAAGTTGTGCAGAATGCAGTGGCGAGGCTTTTAACCAACACCGGTAGGAGGTCACACATTACACCTGTGTTTATATAAATAAACTTTTACTTATTTACTTACTAATATGACAGTGGACACTATACATACTGTATGCCCTTTAGATCATGCGGACCGTTTCTTAGTGTTTCACTGCAATGTCTTTAAATAAATAATTATTTAGGCCTATTTTTATTATTCATTTATTTTTAATTATTCATTTATTATTATGCACAATAATTGAGACATAAAATAAGATAGTAAAATATAATCAACAATGAAAATGTAAATAAAAACGTAAATGAAAACATAAATGAAATAGCTTATTTGATGACTGTCTTAGTCCTATCAAAATAGCAAACACTGAACATCTCTCTATATTTAGGCTAAAAACAGCTTTATTTATTTAGACTTTATTTATTTTAAACTTCTTATTTGTTTGTATTGTATGTTTGTATTTTTATTTTAGTTGTCTTTTATTTCTTTAATTCTACTTTCCCAAATGAATCCTCATTGCACTTAAGTTTACAATGATAATAAAGGATTAACAAATATTTAATGAATAATGAAGGAATTATAATGCTTTGTTTTATCGTTTCATCTTTTTTTACAAGTAGCATATTCACAGCTGCTGTATAGGCTATTTTTGTCTGTTTGCATCCCGTCCCTTTGTGTTCCCTGGCGGCATAGTCACAAACTGCGGTCATACCTTAAAAACATGTTCTTACCCCTTTAGAGCGGCGGCGGTACAAGGAATGGCGGTAATGCTCATAGTTAAGTGTCACCTACTGAACAGACAGTTTTGTCCAAACAGCTTACAAAAGAAGATTTTCTTCATAGGTGCACTTTAAGTCAGAATTTTCTTGACTGTATGTGAAAACAATGTGATGGAAAAGTTTTAATTTGTTTTTGTTTTAATTTAGTTTTTTTCCATAAAGACAAAAATCACTGTATAGCTTCCTTTTCCCCCCACAGTAAAGGCCCTAGACATCGGTACATAGACAGAACACATGTTGTTACCATTTATATTATCATTTTCTAGAACTTGCACTTTAAATCTAAAAGTTTGCATTTTCAGAATGTTTTATTTCTTTGCATCTTTACTTGCAATCTCATATAAATGCACCCTAATAATAAACATTAGTAGTTTTTTTAATGTTTACCTGAGCAAGAGGCTTATTCTCAAACTCTTTTTCATGCTTAAAAAAGGTGTCCAGTCCATGTTCCTTTACAATAATCTCAGACTCGTCTGAAAACAAGACAGCATCTCCATCGAAGGCTACACGCAGTTGTGTGTCACTGAGCTCATTCTCACTGTCGCCGGTAAACATTGTGGCAGCGGCTATTCCTAAGAAATGGCCATATAAAGCAAATATTCCATGCCTGATTATTTAAAGAAAGACTTAATTGAAATTAAAATCCCATTTAAATACTGTAACAATCATGTACTTTTTTTTTTTTTAAATACCTTCTTCGATAGCTTCTTGTACCTTCATTGAATCTTTGGACAGGTAGAGGTTGGTCATGTAGGCCTTCAGGTAACCAATTGGACTCTCTCCACCCGTCATGCAAAATCTTTCTATGGTTAGATCTGCAGAAAGAAAATGAAAAAAAAGGGTTCTATGAATGGGGAAACATCAAATTCTCCAATACTGTTTGTCAAGCTTATGATTAAATGTTATATTTGGAATAACCAGTGAAATTGAACATATGTCTCTCAATTTTTGTTTCTAAACATTTGAGTTAAACAAAAACTGAACTATTTTAGGTTACCGAAGCTAATGAGCATGCATACTAGAAGGGAATGAGATTACGACACCAAGCTCCTAATGGCAGTTTCTGGAGGATGGAATTATCCATCATCCTGTCAATCAAACTATGTAACTCCGTTAGAGTTTGTTCGTTTAAAAGTTAAGATTTCAAGCTTCGTATAGATACATTTCTCATGTTTGTGAGAAAAGTATTAGCTGAGATTCCAGCGCATTTGCAGATCCCAGAGAATTCATAAGAAGGAAGCTGCAAAAACCGTAATAAAACACACGACTGGACCGAGTCCCTCCTCTTTACTAGAAGGTGGGGCTTTTTTCACCAGTTTTCATTTTGACCATTGCATTTCCCCCATTCAGAACTATATGAGTGACATTCCTTTGCTTATTCCATAGTCTTTGAAAAAAGTT